GAGTTATGGTCACTATTCCCAAAACGTTCACCCACTGAAACTTCAACCACTGACCGGCTGCATTTCTTAGGAATAAGTCTAGCACTGCCCCATCTCTAGTAGGACTATCTACATGTTGACAGAAAAAGCTTTCCTGGATGTATTTTAAAAATTGCACCATGTCTAATCATAGAGTCATAGAGTTGTACAGCACTGAAACAGACCATTCGGTCCAACTTGTCCAAACATGTAGGTAGTCCTGCTGTGTTCATCCAGCTCTGCACCTTGTTGTCTTGAATGATAACAACTGTTGTGTACACAAGGACTTGTGTTGACTTGAGGAAGTTTAACAATAGTTAATAACATATCCATAATACCATGATAATGTATCACAGTGGAGCATTAGCACACATTTATTTGTTTGACTCTGGCATTTTGTTTCAATAAATTGGTCAGTGTTTAAAGATTTATCTCATTACAGCAAGCTCCATTTCTGTAGATCAGTGCTTGAGCCGGATGGCTTACCTGCTACACCAATCATTGTTGATGTGAGGAGAATCAGTCTGAGAATAACTAGGAACCATGTTGTCCAACACAAGCTAATCGTTAGGATTAGTTACAAACCTCCCCGACTGTGCAGCTAGCAGATTGCATTAACACCAAGGAGACCTGTTATAAACTGTGGAGAACTCCTTGTTGCATAGCAGAGAATTTATTTTTTATTCACTCATGGGTCGTGGGCATTGCTGGCTGGGCCAGCATTTATTGCCCGTCCCTAGCTGTCATTGAGAAGGTGGTCATGAGCTGCCGATTGAACGGCGACAGTCCACATGCTGTAGGCAAACCCATGATACCTTTAGGGAGGGAATTCCAGGACTGACCCCAGGATGCGGTAACCCCCCCCCCCCCCCCCCCCCCCAACTCCCCCATTTGCTATGTCACTCAGTGTCCCCCTCCCCAGTTCAGTGCCCCACTCACCAGCCCACTTCCTACCTCCCTGGTCATCCTGCTGCCAATCCCTTTCCGCCACTCACTCCTGGGGAGAGGGGAGCATCAGGGAGAGGAAGGGGTCGGGTGGATAAAGAGGGGTGGAAGGGAGAAGGGAGGGAGTAAGGAGTCAGGAGAATGAGGAAGTGAGGCTGTAAGGGATCAGAGACAGAGGGAGGGAGGGAGTGAAGGGGTCTCTAGCAGGAGGTGCGAGGGGTCATTAATGGGAGGGAGTGAGCGGTCAGAAGTGGAGGAGATAAATACTTGAAAATGTGCTGAAGAAGATCCACATTGGATTTGAAACGTTAACTGTTTCTCTCTCCACAGCTGCTGCCAGACCTGCTAAGTTTCTCCAGCACTTTCTGTTTTTGTTCCAGATTTCCAGTATCTGCAGTATCTTGTTTTTTATTTAGACAAGTGTTGAGTGTGGGACAGCGAGCATAGAATCATACAGTGCAGATACAGGCCATTCAGCCCCATCAAGCCTGTACTGACTGTCTGAATTGCATCCCCAATGCACCCCCGCACCCACAATTAAAGGGCTTTTACATTGAGTGCTGTAATTGAAGGTCCAGGATCCTACTGGCTGGAATCCATTAATGGAAACGAGCTTGGCTCCAACCATCCATCTCTCACAGGGTGGGGTAGATGTTGACTCTGGGACCGCATTTGTTGGCACCACAATGACAAGAGGCCTCTCGTCTCCCGTGTGATTGCAGTGCCTAAGGTATCTCTGCCACAGACTGAGGCAACTGCATCAAAGGATAGGAGCAATGAAATGAGTGCATCCCCAGATGCACCCCCACACCCTCTCCCCATAACCCCATATTTAGCATGGCCAATCTAATTAACCTGCACATCTTTGGACTGTGGGAGGAAACTGGAGCACCCAGCGGAAACCCACGCAGACACAGGGAGAATGTGCAAACTCCACACAGACAGTCACCCGAGGATGGAATCAAACCCAGGATCTCTGGTGGTTTGAGGCAGCAGTGCTAACCACTGAGCCACTGTGCTGCCCCATTGAGTGAATTCTGATCCCAGGATCTGAACAAATTTAAAACATTTGTAAAGCACTCATTTCATTGCTCCTATCCTTTGATGCAGTTGCCTCAGTCTGTGGCAGTGATACCTTAAGCACTGCAATCACACAGGAGACGAGAGGCCTCTTGTCATTGTGGTGCCAACAAATGCGGTCTCAGAGTCAACATCTACCCCTCCCTGTGAGAGATGGATGGTTGGAGCCAAGTTCGTTTCCATTAATGGATTCCAGCCAGTAGGACCCTGGACCTTCAACTACAGCACTCAATGTAAAAGCCCTTTAATTCACAGGCTAATCTTTGTGCTGCTTTCTCGATTCAATCTGCTGGGACCATTAAAAAACTAACGAGCTATAAACAAGCAGCAGACAAAAGACATATGAAAGGCAGCTGCTGGATTTATTGTGATGGGCAGTGAGAGGGTGGGGAATGGTTAACAGCTTGTTGTGTGCACTGTATGATCTGTACACACTCTCAGAGTAGGGGCTGAGTCCTCACACCACAACATTGGTGATGAGCTCTAGTGCATGTCAATGAGCAACATCAGAGCTTCTGCCACTGTGTTGATTCATCTTTGATTAATCAAATGTCTATCATGCAGGCTACTATGGATGCAGTTCCATAATTACGTGTCATCCTTTATAACCGAGGAATGGTATTTTGGAGGCTGACATTTCATCACTTCGCCTACTAGGGACAGGGGTTTTTGCAAAATAAGCAGCAATATATAGGCCATCTCAGGGTCGAGCAGTTTGTTCTGTCTCTTCTGCCTGTCACAGGCTGTCTGAATATCCAAATAAGGGTGGCATGGTGGCTAAGTGGTTAGCACTGCTGTCTCATCGCGTCAGGGACCCAGGTTCGATTCCAGCCTCGGACGATTGTCTGTGTGGAGTTTACACATTCTCCCTGTGTCTGCGTGGGTTTCTGCCAGGTCTTCCAGTTTCCTCCCACAGTCCAAAGATGGACATGGTGGATGTGGGTACAATTACATAATTTAAAAGACATTTGGATAGATACATGAATAGGAAAAGTTTGAGGGATAGGGCCAGGAGCAGGCATGCGGGACTAGTTTGGGATTATGTTCGGCATGGACTGGTTGGACCAAAGTGTCTGTTTCCATGATGTATAACTCTGGCTCTATGTACAGGTGAGGTGGATTGGCCATGGGAAATGAGGGGTTACAGGGATAGGGTGTGGGCTGAGTTTGGGTGGGATGTTCTTCCAAGGGTCAGTGGAGACTTGATAGTCTCTTTCCACACTATAGGATTCTGAAATGACTGCATTGGCCCTGTACAGTGAGGGGAGAGACTGGATTGCAGGAGTCCAAGGAGAATGACAAGATATCCTGAAGCTGGTCGTTAATATAGATGCTGTTTGCCTCTTTATGTACACATCATGCCCCTCGCCTTTAGCCTCATGGCAGGCTTATCAAAATGTCACAGAGGCCCTGCACAAAATGACTGCACTGCAGATGACTGAGCCATCAGTCCTTAATTAAAATGACAACTGCAGAACATCCCAGATATCTCACTGTCACACCCCTGTTATGACATGAGCTTCTTCCAGCACAGCCAACCCACTCTCGCCTACTTATGATCTCCATTGGAGATAGTTGGAACTGCAGATGCTGGTGAATCCGAGACAACAAGGTGCAGGGCTGGATGAACACAGCAGGCCAAGCAGCATCATAGGAGCAGCTTTTCTGATGAAGGGTCTAGGCCCGAAACGTCAGCCTCTCTGCTCCTATGATGCTGCTTGGCCTGCTGTGTTCATCCAGGCCTGCACCTTGTTGTCTATGATCTCCATTGTCGGCTTTTCTTTCTCCTGAGCATACTACCATCATCTCTTTGTCTGCTTAACTGTTGTTCTCTCTCTGTCTGTCTGTCTGCCTATCTGTCTCTCTCTCTGGGTTCTATTCACCTCTCTGCCCACCCCTGCCTTCAGTATATATATCACCTTTTCTGAGCTACTGTCAGTTCTGAAGAAGGGTCACTGGACCTAAAACATTAAGTCTGTTTTCTCTCCACTGATGCTGCTAGACTAGTTGAGTTTTTTCAGCAACAGCTGGTTCTGGTTCAGATTTGCAGCATCTGCAGGTCTTTGTTTTATTTTAACTCATATTTCCTTCACCTCCACTTTCTACCCAACTCTCCCTTCGCCACCCCTCAACCCCCAACCCCCCTTTTGTTTTCAAACAAAGTGGGGTGTGTGGTGTATGTTTGGAGGGTGACTTCCTCTCTCTCTGCTACACACGCACGGGCACACACACGCACACACTGATTTGCCACTACATTATTCTGTGAATTTTCCACTCTGTGTTAAAATGTTTATCCCCATGTGCTTCCTTTGCCACTGACCTTAAATCTGTGTCTTCTCCATCACTCACCAGTTTCTATCTATCCTGTTCAGTTACAGACACTGCCCTAATGGCAGCTTCTCCCTTACTTCTCCATTCTTCCCGAGCGTACTCTTTCATCTTCATTTGCTTGTACAAGGCTCCCATTTCTGACATCAATAAGCAATATGATATCAGAAAGGAATACCTTCCACGTTTCCCTTGTTTTCCTCACTTAAAGGAAACAGAAGCCTCCTTCTGATCAGATCCTCCGCCTGAAAGCAGCTGACCTCCCTCTTCCATTGTCATCACCAAAACCTGCTGCCTCTACTGTAGTCCATGGCTCGTTACCCTGACAACAGGCTCCTTACTCGAGCCTGGGCTACCCCTCAATAAGGGCAGGGTGACCATTCCCTGGTGATTCTGGTATCCTCCTCTGCCCAGACCACTCAGGGTTTTAAAACCTCTCTCAAATCTCGTGTCGACCTTCTTTTTGTCAAGGAGAACAGTCCCAGCTTCTCTGGTCTATCCGCACAACTGAAGTGCCTCGTCTCTGGAGCTGCATATATTCCATACAGCCCAAGATCCTGTGTCATTGCACTCTCAACTGCACTCCCTGTAGAATGACCCCTTTATCTTGTCTCTGCTCTTTTTCTCAGGTGGGACAAGGAAGTTGATGAGAAGCCCACGTTACAACAGAACAAGGCCGAACCAAAGCAGCAGCAACGTCAGAAAGGGTAAGCCTAGCTGCAGGTTTGGGTATTTCTGTTTTTACTGTTAGCTACTGTTAAAGCTCACAAAACCACCATCAGTGTCACAAAGGACCCGATCCATCTCTTCATCCTGATCCCTCGATAAACGTGTTCCTGTTATCTGGATACCCAATAAATTCCCCTTTAAAACCCACTTGAAAACTAGTTGTGTGCTTTTAAAGTACCACTGTATTTGACAATGTTTGATATTGGTGATTTGTGTTCTCTGTCTGTCTCTCTCTTTCTCTCTCACTGTCTCTGACTCTGTCTGTCTCTCTTTTACTCTCTGTCTCTGTATCTCTCTCACTCTCTCTGTTGCTTTGTTTGTCTGTCTGTCTCGTGCATTCCTCACTCCTCTTTGTCCTGATCTCCTTCACTTCCTCTTACTTCCTCATGTGTATGCCAGAGTACACTTATCAGTGGATCTTCCAGTCAATTATTCACATGAAGTTGGAAGATTAGCTGGTGAAGAGATGCAGTTGGCAAGGACGATATTTGAGCTGTGGGTGGTTGGTTGGTGATGTTAATGGAAGTTATTTAATTTTAAATCACAGCCTGGAATGGGGCAGCAAGTGGGGGCTGAGTGGGGTGGTGAGTGAGGCATCAGCTGGCAGGGATGGACAGCCCTCGAGTGCATTGTTCTCTTGATGCGGGATTGTACCCGCAGCATCGCTGGCAGTGATGTTGCAGCCGTTGTGATTGCACGGGTGGTGAGGTCGCTGTCCGCAGCTGCAGCAAATGCAGCTAGATATTCGCCTTGGTATAAGAACATAAGAACATAAGAACTAGGAGCAGGAGTAGGCCATCTGGCCCCTCGAGCCTGCCCCGCCATTTAATAAGATCATGGCTGATCTTTTTGAGACTCAGCTCCACTTACTCGCCCACTCACCATAACCCTTCATTCCTTTACTGTTCAAAAATTTATCTAGCCTTGCCTTAAAAACATTCAGTGAGATAGCTTCAACCGCTTCACTGGGCAGGGAATTCCACAGATTCACAACCCTTTGGGTGAAGAAGTTCCTCCTGACCTCAGTCCTACATCTGCTTCCCTTTGTTTTGAGGCGATGCCCTCTAGTCCTAGTTTCACCTGCTAGCAGAAACAACCTCCCTGCCTCCACCTTATCTATTCCCTTCATAATCTTATATGTTTCTACAAGATCTTCCCTCATTCTTCTGAATTCCAATGAGTATAATCTCAGTCTACTCAGTCTCTCCCCATAATCCAACCCTCTCAACTCTGGAATCAACTGAGTGAACCTCCTCTGCACCTCCTCCAATGCTAGTATATCTCTTCTCAAGTAAGGAGACCAAAACTGCACACAGTACTCCAGGTGTGGCCTCACCAGGACCCTATACAGCTGCAGCATAGCCTCCCTGTTTTTAAACTCCATCCCTCGAGCAATGGCAGACAAAATTCCATTTGCCTTTTTAATCACCTGCTGTACCTGCAATGCCACCTTCAGTGATTCATGCACAAGGACACCCAAGTCCCTCTGCACAGCAGCGTGCTGCAATTTTTTACCATTTAAAACATAGTCCATTTTGCTGTTATTCCTACCAAAATAGATGACCTCACACTTATCAACATTGTATTCCATCTGCCAGACCTTTGCCCACTCACTTAGACTATCTATATCCCTCTGCAGACTTTCAGTGTCTTCTGCACACTTTGCTCTACCACTCACCTTAGTGTCATCTGCAAATTTTGACACACCACACTTAGTCCCCAACTCCAAATCATCGACGTAAATTATAAACAATTGCGGTCCCAACACTGATCCCTGAGGCACACCACTAGCCACTGACCGCCAACCAGAAAAACACCCATTTACCCCTACTCTTTGCTTTCTACTGGTCAACCAATCATCTATCCATGCGAATACATTACCTGTAATACCGTGCAACTTCATCTTATGTAGCAGCCTTTGGTGTGGCACCTTGTCAAATGCCTTCTGGAAATCCAGATGCACCACATCCACAGGTTCCCCATTGTCCACCATGCAAGTAATGTCCTCAAAGAATTCCACCAAATTAGTTAAACATGACCTACCCTTCATGAACCCATGCTGGGTGTTCCCAGTGGGACAACTTATATCCAGATGTCTTGCTATTTCTTCCTTAATGATAGATTCGAGCATTTTCCCCACTACCGAAGTTAAGCTAACTGGCCTGTAGTTACCTGCTTTTTGTCCACTTCCTTTTTTAAACAGTGGCATCACATTGGCTGTTTTCCAATCTGCGGGAACCACCCCAGAGTCCAGTGAGTTTTGGTAAATAATTACTAGTGCATTTGCTATTTCCCCCATCACCTCTTTTAGTACCCAGGGATGCATTTCATCAGGACCAGGAGACTTGTCTACCTTTAGCCCCATTAGCTTGCCCAGCACTGCCTCCTTAGTGATAATGATATTTTCTAGGTCCTCACCTGCTATAACCTTCTTGCCCTTAGCTTTCGGCATGTTATTGGTGTCTTCCACTGTGAAGACAAACACAAAATAACTGTTTAATGTCTCAGCTATTTCCTCATTCCCAGTTATTAAATTGGCCTTCTCATCCTCTAAAGGACCAATGTTTACCTTCGCCACTCTTTTACAATTTACATATTTATCGAAACTTTTGCTGCCTGTTTTTATATTCTGAGCTAGTTTACTCTCACAATCTATCTTATTTTTCTTTATAACTTTTTTTGTGGCTTTCTGTCGGCCTTTAAAGATTTCCCAGTCTACTAGTTTCCCACTACTCTTTGCTTTTTTGTATGTGGTTTTTTTTCAAAGTGATACTTTCCTTTATTTCCTTAGACATCCATGGCTGGCTCTCTCTTTTCCTACAGTTCTTCCTTATCACTGGAATATACTTCTGCTCAGCACTGTGAAAAATCGTTTTGAAAGTCCTCCACTGTTCCTCAATTGACCCACCATAAAGTTTTTGCTCCCATTCTACCTTAACTAACTCCTCCCTCATTCCTTCATAATCTCCTTTGTTTAAGCACAGGACATAGGTACTGGATTTAACCTTCTCACGCTCCATCTGTATCTTAAATTCGACCATACTGTGTTCGCTCCTTCCGAGAGGATCCCTAACTGTGAGATCATTAATTATTCCTGCCTCATTACACAGGACTAGATCTAGGATAGCTCGCTCCCTCGTAGGTTCCATTACATATTGTTCAAGGAAATTATCGCGGATGCATTCTATGAACCCCTCCTCAAGGCTGCCATGACCGACCTGGTTTGACCAATCGATATGTAGATTAAAATCCCCCATAATAATTGCTGTACCATTTTTACATGCATTAGCTATTTCTATGTTTATTGCCCGCCCCACCACGATGTCATTATTTGGTGGCCTATAGACCACACCTATCAGTGACTTCTTCTCCCTGCTATTCCTAATTTCCACCCAATTGGATTCAACGTTTTGTTCAGTAGAACCTATATCATCTCTCACTAGCGCCCTGATATCATCCTTAAAAATCAGAGCAAAACCACCCTCCCTTACCTTCCTGTCTGTCCTTCCGAACAGTTTGATACCCCTGGATATTTAACTCCCAGTCATGACCATCCTATAACCATGTCTCTGTAATGGCCACCAGATCATACCCATTTGCCATGATTTGCACTGTCAACTCACCCACCTTGTTTCGAATGCTCCGAGCATTCAGATAAAGTGCCCTTATGCCAGTTTTTGCACCTTCTTTTTGGGTCCTATTACCTCCATTACTAACAGCTCTTGAGTTCTCCTTCCCTTTAACCTTTTTCCTAATTTTCAATGGAGTTGAAGCTTCCTCGTCACCTGTTAACCTGCTGCTTTGCCTTACATTAATTGTTTTTCTCCCTCTACGCTCACTTCTCCCTTCCCCCCTACTTACTAGTTTGAAGTCCTATTAACCACCCTACTTACCCTTTTCGCCAGAACACTGGACCCAGACCTGTTCAGGTGGAATCCATCCCAGCGATATAGATCCCTCCTGTCCCAGAACTGATGCCAGTGCCCCATGAAAAGGAAACCCTCTTTCCCACACCACTCTTTTAGCCACGTGTTTACTTCTCTGATCCTTGCCTCCCTATGCCAATTTGCATGTGGCTCGGGCAGCAATCCAGAGATTATGACCCTTGAAGACCTGTTTTTTAATTTTGTTCCTAGCTTTTCATAATCCTGAAACAGGTCTTTTTTCCTAGTCCTGCCTATGTTGTTGGTACCTACATGGACCATAACAACTGGATCCTCTCAAGCCGGTCAGAGATGTCTCGCACCCTGGCACCAGGCAGGCAACACACCATGCGAGATTCTCTATCCTGCTCGCAAAGGATACTGTCTATCCCCCTGATGATGGAATCCCCTACAACTACAATCTGTCTTTTTGCTCCCCCTCTTGAATGGCCTCCTGGACCATGGTGCCATGGTCAGTTGACTCATCCTTCCTGCAGCCCTGTTCCTCATCCACGCAGGGAGCAAGTGCCTCATACCTGTGAGACAATGTCAAGGGCTGCAGCTCCTGTGTTCCTGCCTGCAGGGTCCCTCTACCTGCCTCACTCGCAGTCACACACTGCTGTCCCTGCCCACCAATCGAATTAACATTAGTTAATCAACCAGGTGTGACTGCCTCCTGGAATACAGTATCCAGGTATTTCTCCCCCTCCCGGATGTGCCGCAGTGTTTGGAGTTTGGATTCCAGCTCATCAATTTTGAGCCGGAGCTCCTCAAGCAGCCAACACTTGCTGCAGATGTGGTCACTGCCGTTCTCAATGGGATCAGCTAGCTCCCACATCATACAGCTACAATACATCATCTGGCCTGCCATCTCTACTTAGTTAATTATTTAAAATTAATTATTTTTTTTTAGTTCCAAAGTGTTCGCTGCACCAGTAAGTTTACTCCGTTATATACTCAAACAGACTCCGGCTTTGCCTTCCAACCCGCTCCCAGAGGATTTGGCGTCTAGGTGACCACCCCGAAAGATAACAAAGAGATGAGGAAAAAACAAT